CCATGGAAAACTCAAACAAAATATGAGTTACAGAAGCCACTTTTAATAGTGATTTTTTTTCTCTTTAAGACTTTCCAGCTAAATATTTGACATTGTGTTCAGATTTCATGGCTTAAATTAATGTTCCACGAGAGCTATACATAACAGCAAGCCATACTCATTGTGCCCAACTAGATATCATGGACTGTTGTGTGATATTTTATTTATATTCTGACAAATAAAGCATGCCTGCAGATCAGAGGGTGGAGCTAGGCACTAGATATCCATAGAGGCCAGGTGGTGGGGGATCATGCCTTTAATTCCATCACTTGAGAGGCTCATACCTTGAGAAGCAGAGAAAGGAAATAACAAGGCAGGGTGGAGACAGGATCTTGGCCCTTTCATCATCTAGAGAAGGTAAGAAGTCACTGGTGGCTGCTCCTCTGCTTCTCCAATCTTTCAGTTCATTACCCTAATATTTGACTCCTGGTTTTTATTGATAATACTGACTAGGTTTACACTTCAATGGATCACGCTGCATTCACAAATAAAATATTTCATCTCTGCATTACTTAAGTCTTCAAGTTAATGTATGTTTTATTCTTTATTCATAATTTCAAAGGCATTTTCTTATTTCTTAATATTTGTCATGGTAAACAGAAGGTTGAAATATTATGTTCACACAACATGATAAATATAATAAATCTAAATTTTCAAAATCTTAAGACAATGTTTTCAGGTTTTCTCAGCTTCTTATTTAAATATGCCTACTTTCTTCAAAATAATAATAATTGTTATTGTTAATCGAGCATTTCCAATTACTAGACAGATACTCTATATGTTTTTGGGATTTCTACCCACAACAACCATTTAAGTAACTGTCATTTCCCCTGACATGAACAAGGTCATAAAGGATGAGGAGACTAGATGATTCCCTGTTGGTGCAGTTGACAGGATGGACTCTTGAGTTCTGCTGTCAGTGGGATAAATCTGTAATAAATATGTCAATAACAATATATCTTATGCACAGAATGTGTTGTGGAAAACAAGATTTCCCACAAAATTGCATTACTTGGGTTGTCTCCTGGGCAAAGATTAAAACTTTACAGAAGGGAAACAAACCCCATGCCTAAGATGTATGGTTCTGTTAACCAATACCCTGCCTCAAAAGGAGAACATGGTAGAAGCAAAGTCTACTAAATATTAATTATGTTCTTTTTTCCCCCTGAGTCAGCCTAGTTTCAAATAAGACAAAAGAAATGATTTCATAGGAATTAGCTAAAAGCCATATTTTCAGTTTACAAAATTAATTACCTATGGCCAAACCTCATGACCAGTGTCTCCATTCTTGTGATGATATTATTGTTGCAATTCTTATTTTAGTAAAACATAAATATCTTTTTATTCCCTGATGCTAAACACATACATGCTAAATTATTTATATATCCATTTTAATATGTATTTTGCATCTGACAATGCAACTCTCCTTAGGACCCCTTTACTGACCTACCTGTCATTATTATGGGGTAAACAATGTCACCTTTCTAGTGCACAATGAATTACAAAGAATTTGCAAAGCATACCATCCATCATGCTGGCACTAAGTAGGTTTGCAGAGTAGATATCAGATATCACAAATGCTCTTTAGACAGTTACCAGAAAGCACAAATTGGAAGCTTATACAAAACAGCCCTATGATGAATGGCCATGACAGCTCTTCAAAGTAAAGGGGAGCTACTCCTCTGCAAATAACCTTGTCAAAAGCAAAAGTTGTGGGGAGCTTCACTGGCAGTCAAAATAGAATAATTTAAAAACTTGTTAATGGCTCTGCCTCATAGAAATTCATGAACACAGAAGGTAGTCAAAATAAGGAAGAAGTTATTTCTGAATCAGCAGCAGCAGCAGCAGCAGCACCAGCAGCAGCAGCAGCAGCAACCAGGCAAGATTAGTTCAAATTGGGGAATGGTCAAAGATACACAAAAGTCACCATTGCTCTTCGAGCTGTTCTGTGTGAACAATAACCCCTTAGAACATAGATACAAGTGTATGCACAAGTTCTGTATGCATATATACAATACGATAGTCAGCTAGAACTGTTTTACTTTTGAATATTGTAGTCACATTATTTGAGTCTTTTTTTTTTTTTTTGGTTTTT